GCGCAGGAAGGCAATGCTACAACAACAATGCGCACGCGGGCGCCCGTCATCGCTGCGGTAGGCGAATACTTCGCCATCGGAAGCTGACAAACCAGACATTTGAATGGTTCGTCGCTGATTTTCCTGATTTTCCTCTGCCCGTCATTGCGAGGGCAAACCAACGCAGCATTGCCCGAAATTGAGGAACAAGAAACTTGAGTGATCCGCCGCTATGACAAAAAACTGGAATCGAACTCACATCCATTACCCGTCATTACCATGATTGGAAAATCCCGCGTCGCCAGAAGTGGATGCGCCATTAGTAGCTTGGGTGAGCCGTCGCTGAACAGAGAAGTCACAACATTCTCCTCAATCGGATCCGATTGCTCCGTTGCCCGACGGTACCGCGGCAAGACAAGACTCCGCCGTCGGAAGCTCACGGATCAGAACTTGAACCATTCACCGCTAAGCAGCACCTCCCAGCAATCGAACTCGCTTTCTCTGGTTTCCGCCACGGATATCGCAGGCCAGCGCCGAGCCGTCGGAAGCTGGAACTCCAGGAACTGCAATGATTGATCCCTGCGGAAACGATGAATTCGTTCGATTAGAACGAAAATCAAACGGAAAAACAAAAGAGGAAAAGGGGCAAGCGAAAAACAGTTAGAAAGAAAGGAAGACAATTAAACTCGACAAACAAACCATTCAACATCTCTCCATCAAATTGGCGATGTTTTTGTTTTAAACATAAAACAAGAACTCATCCGCGCAAATTATACAAACAAAAAACTAAGCAAGCATGTTTCATGCAAATCGAACATCTCGCTCATACAGTTGCGAGAACAATAACGGAATGCACCGCTGAAATACGAGCGTCAAACATTTGTAGAATATGCATTTAAGCATTGGTTGAAATCAATATCGGTTCGAACATCAACGCCACGTATTATTCGCACTTGCATCGAACGGGAAGCATTTTTTAAAAAGAACAAAGCGACAAACATCATTAACATTCAAAGGCAAATTCACGCAGTGAACCGCCGAGCAAGCTGCGCCCCACAACGGGGGAACGCAACAGGTGAAAGCGGCGGGCTTGAATCATATGTAAACGACGAGACAAGCTGAAAAGAAAACAAACATACGGGAAAAGGCATGGTGAATTCTGCGTCGGCGCACGCTGGCTTCATTTACTATATATATATACACACGAATGTAAACATGCCGATATAGGAATATACTCGGCAGATATACGGAATGCAGACACCTGTTTAATTTCGATCCTGGAATGTCACCTCTTTTCATTTTGCCGGCAACGCTTGGAGGCGCGCGGCGACGCCGAAAGAGGGAACGCGAGGAGGAGGCAAAAGGACGACAACAAACGCCCAGACACGAACGGATGTCGGGCTTCGATCCCGAACTTCTTCTAACAAAGAATCCTACTTCTTCGGCCGGCAACGCTGGGGGGCGCGCGACGACGCCGAAAACGGGAACAGGAGGCGAAGGCAAAGGGGAGACAGCAAACGACCGGACATCGAAGGACTTCGGGTTTCGACGAACGACGCGACACCGCCGGCGATGGGCAGCGGCGGCCAACCGAGCCCCCCCCCCCTGCTCCGCCTCCCTTTCCTGCGCCTTCGTTCCTCACCCTCCATATATACATATATTTATACACATGCACATATGAACACATATGTATGTATGTATGTATGTATGTATGTATGTATGTATGTATGTATGTATGTATGTATGTATGTATGTATGTATGTATGTATGTATGTATGTATGTATGTATGTATGTATGTATGTATGCATGCATGCATGCATGCATGCATGCATGCATGCATGCATGCATGCATGTATGTATGTATGTATGTATGTATGTATGTATATGTGTGTATGTATGTATGTATGTATGTATGTATGTATGTATGTATGTATGTATGTATGTATGTATGTATGTATGTATGTATGTACATATGTGTGTATATATATGTGTATATATATATGTATGTATGCCCCCCGTTCCCCCTTCCCTTCTGCGCCGTTATTTTGGAGACCCCTGACTTCGATTTTGAACCAAACCGAACCATCCACGAGTGTTCAGCTCTGCGCGCGCAAACCTGGGCCGCTGCGGCAAGTCCAAGAGCGACTTGCACACTGCGGTAGAAACGATGCCACACATAATTCCCCACAGGCATGTGACAAGGAGAACTGCGAGGCAGGACGCAGGACATCGCGGCGTCGCTCGCGCCCCCGCGCCGCGGCACCGCGCGTCCGGCGGGCGACGGCGCGAGGGGGCCCGCCCCCAGCATTGCCGGCGCCGCCGCAGCCGCCGCCGCCGGCAGAGGCGCCGCCCGCCGACGAGAGAGGAGACGCGCGCGTGGAAGCGCGGGTCGCCGAGGAGCCAGCAGCGCCAGCGGCCGCGGGCTCAGGGGCGCGCTGGCGCGGAGCTGCAGCTCCCGAGGCGCCCCGGGGGCAGGCTGTCCCGGGCGGAACATCGCGGCGGGGATGGGGCCGTTTCCCAATCGCCGCGCCGCCCGAGCCCTGCGAGGCGCGCGGGCCGGGGCCGATCTCGCCAAGCAAGCCGACGCCCGCCCCATCGGACCACCCCAAGCATCACCGAGCCTCGGATCCCGGAGGATTCGGAGAGAGAGGGCGAGAGAGCACGGCGCCGCCGCCGACCAGGTCGCGCAGGGCGCCCATGCCAGCGGCTCCTGGACCACCCGCGACACGCTCCGCGCGGGCGATGGGGGCGTCAAAACCAACGGCGCAGCCTGGCAAAATTATGGGCTGGGGGGCGGAAAGATACGGATACGTGTTGTCCCCGGACCTCTCTCGGGGTGCGTTCTGACCAGAATTTCGAGGCGAATCCAGCGGTGACAACGAGGATTCCCCAGGAGGACCAGGAAAGGCCGAAAACGAAGGGGGACAACACGTATCCGTATCTTTTTGTCCCCCGAGTGGGGGCGAGTGGGGCCCGCGCGCGTGCCCCGCCAACACCGGGGCGAGAGCGACGGTCTGGCTCGCGCTCCGCGCAGGCCGCTGCCCACGCACCTCTTCCATCGGAGGACGAGGAGCAGCGGGCCCCCCGCGGCGTGCCCATGGTCCAAGCCGGGTCTCCGGCGGCGGCGAGGCGAGCTCGACGCCCGCGAAAAGCGCGACCTGCTCCGTCAGGGCTGCCAGAAACACATTCGCCATCCAACCTTCGGCTCCATGTTCCATGAAGGGGCCCCAGGACACACAAATAAATACACACAAATAAAAATGGTCCCCATATTTTCCCATATTTTCTGGGGTTCTGTCTTCCCCCCCACTTCCCATTTTTTCTGGGGAATCGATGATTAATTGTGTCTGTGTGTTTCTTTTCCTCCTGATTCCAAGCGAACGACGAGTTCGGGCGCGGGGAGGCCCCGCCTTTGCTTGCCCGCCCTGAGCTTCTGCCCACTGCAACCGCCCGAGGGCCGGTTGTCGATGCCAACCTGAACGCGCGACAGATACGCCAGCAGACGCACTTTAACGAGCCGTTGCCCCTTAGCGTCGCTGCCGTGTGGAACGCCCCCCGACGGAGCCCAAAGACAACCGATCGCCTCGGCGGCGTTTTTCGCCGGCACGGATGTTCGGCCAAAGGGGGCCGTTGGGCCGCCCCGGTACAATGTTCTGCTCAAGCATGGTTTTTCTCGGATATCGGGCACCGCCGCCATCGAGCGAAAACCGCACTTTCGAAATCCGGTGTCACCATCCCGTAGTTCGGGAGGTACTTTGGTTTTGCACGGCGGTGAGCACAGAAGGGTCGAGACTGGTGGGAGGAACTCCAAGCTTGGTTAGTGTTGCGCTTGCCTTCGGGTCGTCATGGCCTAGGGATGCAGCAACGCCTGCATTCCACCGAACAGGGCCGACTGCCGAGCCTGATTCGGGTCCAGGCAAAAATATCATCTCCGCCGGCCATGGGAATGTCGCCGCCTGCCGCTGCCATCTGAATGCAGAGATCGTGAACGCAAGTGTAAGTGGTGATGTCGCTACATGATCCGGCCACATCCGGGGCCAAAGGCTGGGGTCGGAGGCCGTGGAAACCGAGGAGGCTCGTGCGAGATCGGCCGCCCGAGCCAGAGCGGCGACGGCGACGACGACGAAGTCGTCGGCGACGACGGCGGCGACGAGAGGAGGGAAGAGGGGAGTTGCAGCCCGCTGAGGGGCGGCGAACGCGACCTGTGTTTCTGAGGCGACGGAGGAGGAGGCAATGCTCGTAGAGTAGGAGCGAACCTGAGCAGCCCAGTCGTCGGTAAGGGCAAACCTAGAGTCCGAACTTGTCGCGAATGGGTGCCGCAAGGATTGTTATTGACGGGTCAAGCGCGCTGGCTGAGCGTATTGGGATCTGGCCTTGGAAACGACGCTGCCCCCCAAGCGACCTCCAGGGAGGGAGGGAGGGGGGGAGGGCCACGACGCAAAGGGCCACCAACCTGCTGAGAACATCCGAGGTGAAGCAGGACGAGGGCAGACCGCGCCCGGCGAAGGTCGAAGCCGCCACTTCGGATGCTTCGGGTCCTCTTCGAGGGTCGAAGCCTGCGTGTCAGATGTTTCGAGGGTCGAAGCCTCCATTTCGACGCCATGCTTCTCGAATATCACCAGTGCAGCGTAAGTCGTCAGAAGACGAACGACGGTTTGAGTTGCGAACTGCAGCAAGACCATTACCTCCCCCTCGCCTTTCGCCCGTATTCTCCTGGTGCACCCTCGCGGGAGACACCACGCAACTACGTATCCTCCGTTCCCTCCTGATCCATTCTACTGTCCACTCCTGCGTTTCTCCCTTTCCTCTGCTCTTCTGCTCCACCTCATCTTCCTTCGTTTCCCCTTCTTTCACCTGGCTTCACAATCCTCCTCCTCCTCCTCCTCCTGCTCCTCCTCCTCCTCCTCTTTCTCCCCCTCATCCGCTTCCTCCTCCCCCTCCTCCTCCTCCTCCTCCTCCTCCTCCTCCTCCTCCTCCGCCTCCTCCTCCTCTAAGAAGGCGATGGGGGCGGGGGGTGGACTGGTGCATGTCGCCGATGAGGTTGATCAACATCTTCACGGCGTCGGCATCCGAGAACGTGAGCTTCCCGCTCTGCCGTGAGCCGGAGAGGAGGAAGATCGGGCATCGAATGAAGTCTCGAAGATCGAAGAGGAGAGGAGTTCGAGGATCGAGGGGAGTTCGAAGGTCGAGTTCGAAGATGAGGCCAGAGAGGAGTTCGAAGGTCGAATGGAGTTTCCCCATGTCTTCAGCCATTTCTGGGCCTGCGGAGACCTCAAGATGCCCCCAGGGGCCCTCTGGAGCTGGAGGGGTATTGCGAAGCAGTGGCAGAGTCGTGTGGTGCGGCAGCGTGGTCGAAAGAACGAATTGAAGGGGCCCTGGGGCACACAAAAAAATTGACACAATAGAAGGATTCACCCTATATTTTCCCATGTGTTCTGGGCTTTTGCCTTCCCCCACACTTCCCCCCCAACATGTAGGGATGGCTATCGTGAAGGGCGTTGCGTGCACGCCTGGACGGATCCTGGCCAGGCCCATCCCGAGCTCAAAACTTGCCTGGCCAGGACCCAGTCCTAAAGGCGCGGACGGAGAGCTCTGTGTCTAGCCGGCGCAGAACGAGGACCTGCCCACAGAAAAGCCAGGGGAAGGAGGCGAAGGATGATACTGAACGAGAGGAGGAGGAGGAGGAGGAGGAGGAGGAGGAGGATGAGGAGGAGGTTCAGCGCGCGCACGAACGTTCGGAGAAGCAACCCCATCATTACTTGACGACGCCGAACCCCTAGATCCCGCGCCCTCACCTGCAGGCTGCCCTCCTTGGTATTTCTCTTCTTCTGTAGTCGATTGGCATGTTCCCGATGCGATGCTTTGACGGCGTCAACCTTACTAATGGTCTCTCCGACGGCGCGTTGACCACCTCACCAATGGCTCTGCGAAGCTCCGACTGCCGAGGGGTGATGATCTTCACGTCGGACGGGTGCACCTCGTGCTCGTCAGCAGAGAAAGACAGCAACTCTTCAGCACCAACATCAACGCACGGCACGCCACCCTTGATAGCATCACGAATACACATTGTTGGACTTAGGCGGCTCTGCAAGATGCTGATTAACCTCAGTGTGTAAGAAGTAGCGAGGGAAGTAGCGACCAGCTGCTTGTGTGTAGCGTCTGCCTCCTTTATCTCCGAGCTGACATCATGCACTGCCTTCTGCTTGTCGGCCAACCACTTATTATCTTTGTCCAACTCAGCAAGCTCTCGACCCACACTACGCTCATGTACCTGGGCTTGACCCTGAGCATCCTGGACACGACGGCTGAGGGGCTTCTCGGGTGGGGGCTTGAGCTCCTCGGGTGGGTGTTTGAGCTCCTCTTGCCTGCGACGGAAAAAGCTGTTGTAGTGGGCGACCGCGTTGAAATTCCCTTGTTTCCAGCTGCTCCAACGACGCGACATCAGAGTCGGGCTCGCGAGAAGCAGAACCATCAGCCGAAGGCGATGTCCAGACTCGCCCTGCTGGGGGATCTCCTGGTACCGGGGCGGGCCGCCTCACTAGCTCCACGAGGCCTCTTGCAGTGCTTGCAAAGCTGGCCGTGCGGGACTCTTTTGCACCTACAGCCCTCGAAGCTGCAAGCCCAGCACTCGGCGAGGAGAATGGAAGGAGAAAGAGGGTAAAGGGGAGATGAGGAGGGGCGAAGTGCAGAACATTTCCATCTACAGGGAGTGGGAAGAGATCGGGAGTGGACAAAAATCCGCCAACACTTCATCTGCGTGTGGAGGAGGCTGTCGTCATCGTCGTCGCCATCAGTCCCAAGGATATTACGGAACAAAGAACAGGAACGTCGTAGCTAAGTCGAAGGGAAGCCTCTTCCCCTTGTCCCTGCCCTGCCAAAGGGGGGGGGGGGGCCGGGTCAGAATATCGGGTCGGGCGAAAGGGGGGGATAGCAAAGGGGGGGTTTGAGAATCAGCTCCGTAGCTGATTTTCCCGGCGCCTCCCGGCGCCGGAGGCGGCTATGTATCGAGGAATGGGCCCCTCGGTGAGGCCGAAACCAGCTGCATGCAGCAAATTTCGTACCCCCCCCTGTCCCAATGACCCCCTTTCGCCCGACCCGAGTATTCCGGAACAAAGAACAGGAACGTCGTAGCTAAGTCGAAGGGAAGCCTCTTCCCCTTGTCCCTGCCCTGCCAAAGGGGGGGGGGGCGGGTCAGAATACCGCACCCACAGGATCCCGGCGGGTCTGGCGGGGGAGGGGCGTCGCCAGCGGGGGGTCCCTGGGGAGGCCTCGCCTTCGAGGTCGGCGGCTCTCCGGCTGTAATAGGCCTTCGCAATGTGAGGAGATAGGAGGAGGAGGAGGAGGAGGAGGAGGAGGAGGAGGAGGAGGATTGAGGAGGAGGAGGAGGAGGAGGAAGAAGAGGAGGAGTACAGAAGAGAGAGGAGAAGGGAGGAGAAAAAAGAGACCAGGAGGAGAGTGGGTGTGCCAGGACACTGGCGGCATCTTGGAGTCCTGACAGGGTCCTTCGCGCGGCCAGGGCCTCCCTGGGGATGGGCGGGGCACTCGGGGGGAGGGCGGAGGAGAATCGGGCTTCAAGGATCGACGTTCGATATTCGGGGCCCAAAGGGGGGGCCCTGAGGGGCGGGGCGAGTTCGATCCGCTGGTGCATCGAATTTCCGAAAAGCGGTGCCCCCCGCGCGCCCCGCCTGTCGACGCCTCTCGGTTTCCGGCCGGCGGCCGGAGACTTCGTTTGGCATCGTTTTTGGGCGGTTCGATGCGCCAACAGACCGAACTCCCCCCCCCCCCCTCTTTTGCGAGGTCCCGAGATCTTCGAAAACAAAAAATCGATCGTGGTCCTCCCATGGCCTGGGGAAGCCGTGGGTGATCTCGGGAGCCCTCTGGAGGCCGCCGAAGACTCCCAGCGGCCTCCAGGGACCTTCGGACACCTGCCGAGATCTGCGCGGGGATCTCTGGAAGCAAAGCGAGGGAGGAGGGGAGGAAGGGGAGAAGGGGGGGAGCAAGAGGAGGCGGAGGGGCGACGACGACGACGACGATCAGGATGCGAAGCAGGAGCAGAAGGAACAGGAGCACCAACATCAGGTATGCGAGTGTATTCTTTGCCAGCCTCTGCACCCCACCTGGCCGGGTGGAACAACGCACGCGGTGCAAGTTGGAGGGCTCCCAGCCTCGTCAGGACAGTGCAAGATTTCGCTGTTGACCAAGCAGGCGGAACAGGAGGGAGTCCCAGAGATCCGACGTCGTGATTTTTTCAATGCGGGGCCCCCGGAGGTCTCGACCCGTTCCCCGGGGGAGTCGTTTCTTGACGGTCCCGGGGCCTGGCGAGGGCCCGTTGAGGCCGAAAACTGTGAAAAACCTTCGCCTCGATTTTCCAATGCGTGGGATCTCTGGGGAGAGGGGGAGAGACAGGCGAGGGAGAGGCACCGAGCGCGAGCGGGGCCCGTCCGGACGCCGGCCTGCCAGCGGCCAGCGCGACGCCCGCTCCACTCCGGAGCGGGAGCAGCACCGTGCCTGCCAAGAGCCGCGCTCTCGGCTCTTGGCCGGCGGGGCCCCAGTGTCGGGGCCCGGCTCCCCTCCTCCTCCTCCTCCTCCTCCTCCTCCTCCTCCTCCTCCTCCTCCTCCTCCTCCTCCTCCTCCCTCCCTCCCTCCCTCCCTCCCTCCCTCCCTCCCTCCCTCCCTCCTCCCTCCCTCCCTCCCTCCCTCCCTCTCCCTCCCTCCCTCCCTCTGGGGATCGAAGTTGCGACAACAATCACAACGTTGGCGCACGGAGCTCACTGCCAGAAGGCGCCACCTCCGGGAGTCCGCACCGCCAGCACTCTCCCGGAAGAGGGGCGGCCGCAGCGGAGCTGCCTTCCCGGCCCGAGCTGCTTCAGCGCCTCGACTGCAGCAAGCACGTTCCGCACGGGGGACCCCGGACCTCCGCATGGACCCTCCTGCGAGAGCAGGGGACCTCGCCCCCCGACTGCTCTTCTCGACGCCCCCAAGGCCCGAAACCTCCGCACACGCGCATGCACACGGCAATTTTGAAGGGGCCCCATGACACACAAATAAATACACACAAATAAAATTATTCCCCATATTTTCCCATATTTTCTGGGTTTCTGTCTTCCCCCCACTTCCCATATTTTCCCATATTTTCTGGGGAATCGAGGATTAATTGTGTCTGTGTGTTTTTTCCTCTCCTGAAATTTCGTGCCGTGACAACTGGGGCGCTGGCTTCGGTGCCCTCGCTCGGACGTCCATTTTCTCCGTGTCCTTTTCCGGCTTCGGGGGGGCTATAGTGTCCTCGAAGCGTGGCCCGAGATGCTCCTCGATGGCCCCCACCCGCAAAAAAAATGCACACGTCCGAACGACGCCAACTTTCTGACACCGCGCGGCTCCGCCGCGCACACCCGCGGCCCTCCGACAGCGCAGGGCGTTCCACGCCGGGCGCCCGCGGTGCGGCCCTCTCCGAGGCCGCCGCACCGACACGACGCGGACCTGCCGCAGGTGGCCCCCCCCCCGCCCTTGGGCGTGCCTTAACAGGGGGGTCATAAACGGGGGGGTCAGAAACGGTCCCCTCTCGTGCCCCCCTCGGGCCCCTCCGGAGCAGGAGGAGGAGGAGGAGGAGGAGGAGGAGGAGGAGGAGGAGGAGGAGGGGGCTCGTGTAGGTACCTTTTGGGTACCTTTTCGGACCACCCTCGCCCCCCCCCCCCCGTTCACACGACCCCCCCCCAGTACGCGACGCCCCGCGCCCGCGGCCCGAGCTCCGCGCCGGCTCCACTTTGCGATAGTCGATGGCCGGGTAGTCTCGCGCGGGGCGCCGCGCGGCGGAAGGGGGCCGGCCGGCCGCGCTGGCCGCTCGGGCCGCCGCCGCGAGGGCACGCCTCGAGAGGCCCTCCCTCGGCGCCGGCTCGGGGCCCCTCGGCGCCGTCCCTCGATCCCTCGATCTCTCGATCCCTCGATCCTCGGCCCTCGACCTTCGGTCCCTCGATCCCTCGATCTCTCGATGTGGCGCTGGAGGCCACCTCGTGCGCGCCTGGGCTGCGGCCTCCTGCCTCGAAGGCTCCCTCGGGGCGCCCTCGGGCGCGCATCCTCCTCCTCCCCCTCCCCCTCGCCCTCCCCCTCCCCCTCCCCCTCCTCCCCCTCCTCCTCCTCCTCCTCCTCCCTCCTCCTCCTCCTCCTCCTCCTCCTCCTGCCTCCTCCTCCTCCTCCTCCTCATGCTGCCTCCTCCTCCTCCTCCTCCTCCTCCTCCTCTCATGCTGCCTCCTCCTCCTCTCCTCCTCCTCCCCTCCTCCTCCTCCTCCTCCCTCCTCCTCCTCCTCCTCCTCCTCCTCCTCCTCCTCCTCCTCCTCCTCCTCCTCCTCCTCCTCCTCCTCATGCTGCCTCCTCAGAGGTCTCCCGAGGTGGGGCCCGCCGCAGACCTCCGGATACCTTTGCACCTCTGGGCGAAGCTGCGCTGCACTGACGGACGGGGCAGATGGCTGGGCCGGGCGAGATCGGCCCGACGTCGTGGCGCCCAGGACCCCAAGAGGTCAAGAAGACCTGGCGCCGCGGGAGGAACGCAGCGGTCGCGGGGATATCACGCTGGCGGGAACCCCTCGGCCCCACCTCTTGCAGGATCCCTCGAGCGGGCTCGGTCTGTGAGGGCACTGGGGACCCAGGCAAAGCAAAACTCCCCCGCTGTTTTTCCCCAAACAGCTTGCTGAACGGGGTGCTGTTGTGATAGAAGCTAACTCCGGCCGAGGGAAGTCGGAGCCGAGACATCCTCACTAAAATCTGATGGTCCAGGCCGTTTCGCTTGAGACATCCTCACAACTCTCGTTTCTGAGTTGGCCGGGATTGGCCGTTTCGCCTGAGACATCCTCGAAAAGTTGCGCTCCGGGACGCCGCGCGAGAGATGGTCCGGGCCGTTTCGCTTGAGACATCGTCGAAATTCTGAGCCCCGAAGTGCCGTGCGAGAGGTGGTCCGGGCCGTTTCGCCTGAGACATCCTCGAAACTCTGACCTCGGAGATGCCTTGCGCGAGGTGGTCCGGCCTGTTTCGCCTGAGACATCCTCGAAACTCTGACCTCGGAGATGCCGCGCGAGAGGTGGTCCGGCCCGTTTCGCCTGAGACATCCTCGAACTTCTGAGCTCTGAGATGCCGTGCGCGAGGTGGTCCGGCCCGTCTCGCTCGAGACATCCTCGCAACTCTGAGCTCTGAGATGCCGTGCGCAAGGTGGTCCGGCCTGTTTCGCACGAGACATTCTCGCAACTTTGAGCTCCCAGATGCCGCGCGAGAGGTGGTCCAGCCTGTGGGCCCAGAAGACCACATGTTACATATCCTCCCTGGGACCCTGGGAGCCCGCCTGAGACATCCTCGAACTTCTGAGCTCTGAGATGCCCTGCGCGAGGTGGTCCGGCCCGTCTCGCCTGAGACATCCTCGCAACTCTGAGCTCTGAGATGCCGTGCGCAAGGTGGTCCGGCCTGTTTCGCACAAGACATTCTCGCAACTCTGAGCTCCCAGATGCCGCGCAAGAGGTGGTCCAGCCTGGGGGCCCAGAAGACCACATGTTACATATCCTCCCTGGGAGCCCCAGGAGGCCCCAGAGAGCTCCAGGAGGCCGCAGGACGCCCAGGACAGGCCCCAGGGGTCCCCAGGAGATTCCCAGGAGGCTCCCAGGAGGCCCCCTATCAGAACGTGTCAAGTTAATACACATCCGGTGTCGATTCGTTGATTTTTCCTGCTCTTGTGCCCATTTTGGGAGGCCATAGATATCCCCCCTGGGAGCCCCAAGAGGCTTCAGGAAGCCCCAGGTGGAGTTCAGGAGGCCACAGGAGGCCCAGGAGGAAGCCCCAGGAGGTCCCCAGGAGGCCCCCGCAACTCGGAGCTCTGAGACGCCGCGCTCGAGGTGGTCCGGCCCGTTTCGCCTGAGACTTCCTCGCAGCACGTTTCGCCCGAGACATCGTCGCAACTCTGGGGTCCGAGATGCCGCGCGCGAGGTGGTCCAGCCCGTTACGCTGGAGACATCCTCGCAACTCTAGGCTCCGAGATGCCGTTCGGGATGAAGAGGAGGTGGAGGAGGAGGAGGAGGAGGAGGAGGAGAAGGATATGGAAGGGAGAAGAAGGAGGCGTATCATGTGAATGAGGGAGCAGGCAGGAGGAGGGGGAGGAGGAGGAAGAGGAGGAGGGAGAAGGAAGGGAGTTGCAGGAGAGGACCTAACGGGAAGCGAGTGCGACGTGGACTTGTCAGAACGTGTGCGAGAGATTGTCCGGCCCGTTCTGTTTCAGACATCCTTCCAAAACTGAGCTCCAAGATGTCGCTCGCGAGGTGAGCCGGCCCGTGTCGATTGAGCCATCCTCGCAATGCGAGGCTCGAAGATGTTGCGCGCGAGATGGTCTGGCCCGTTCTCCCTGAGACGTTTTGTAGCACGGGGGCTCCAATCACAACCTCTCTCATTCCTTCTCCCGCCTCCCTCTTCCCACTTCCCGCCTGGCTCCTCTTCCCTCCTCCCTCCTCCCGCCTCCCGCCTCCCGCTGCTGCGCCTCTGCCTCCGCCTCCCCGTCCCCGCCGTCGTCGTTTTTTGTCGCCTCAGCATCCGTCATGCGCGCACTGCCTTCCGCCCTCCCCAGACATCCGACGTCACGATTTTTCTCCAAACAGCTTGCTGAACGGGGTGCTGTTGTGATAGAAGCTAACTCCGGCCGAGGGAAAGGGGAGCAGAGACATTGTCACGAAAATCTGATGGTCCGGGCCGTTTCGCTTGAGACATCCTCACAACTCTCGTTTCTGAATGGGCCAGGATTGGCCGTTTCGCCTGAGATATACTCGAAAAATTCCGCTCCGGGACGCCGCGCGAGAGATGGTCCTGGCCGTTTCGCTTGAGACATCGTCGAAACTCTGAGCTCCGAGGTGCTGTGCGAGAGGTGGTCCGGGCCGTTTCGCCTGAGACATCCTCGAAACTCTGAGCTCTGAGATGCCTTGCGCGAGGTGGTCCGGCCCGTTTCGCATGAGACATCCTCGAAACTCTGACCTCGGAGATGCCGCGCGAGAGGTGGTCCGGCCCGTTTCGCCTGAGACATCCTCGAACTTCTGAGCTCTGAGATGCCGTGCGCGAGGTGATTCGGCCCGTCTCGCCTGAGACATCCTCGCAACTCTGAGCTCTGAGATGCCGTGCGCAAGGTGGTCCGGCCTGTTTGGCACAAGACATTCTCGCAACTCTGAGCTCCCAGAGGCCGCGCAAGAGGGGGTCCAGCCTGGGGGCCCAGAAGACCACATGTTACATATCCTCCCTGGGAGCCCCAGGAGGCCCCAGAGAGCTCCAGGAGGCCGCAGGACGCCCAGGACAGGCCCCAGGGGTCCCCAGGAGATTCCCAGGAGGCTCCCAGGAGGCCCCCTATCAGAACGTGTCAAGTTCATACACATCGTTGATTTTGCCTGCTCTTGTGCCCCCCCCCTTCATTTTGAGGGGCCCAAACGGCCACAGGTTAGGTATCCCTCCTGGGAGCCCCAAGAGGCTTCAGGAAGCCCCAGGTGGAGTTCAGGAGGCCACAGGAGGCCCAGGAGGAAGCCCCAGGAGGTCCCCAGGAGGCCCCAGGAGGCACCAGGAGGCCCCTGCAACTCGGAGCTCTGAGACGCCGCGCTCGAGGTGGTCCGGCCCGTTTCCCTGAGACTTCCTCGCAGCACGTTTCGCCCGAGACATCGTCGCAACTCTGGGGTCCGAGATGCCGCGCGCGAGGTGGTCCAGCCCGTCACGCTGGAGACATCCTCGCAACTCTAGGCTCCAAGATGCCGTGTAGAGAAGAAGAGGAGGAGGAGAGGAGGAGGAGGAGGAGGAGGAGGAGGAGAGAATAAGAGAAGGAGAAGGAGAAGGAGATGGAAGGGAGAAGAGGAGGCGGATGATGCGGATGAGGGGGCGGCAGGAGGAGGGGGAGGAGGCGTAGGAGTAGAGGAAGGGAGGAGGAGGAGGAGAGGAGGAGGAGGAGGAGGAGGAGGAGGAGGGAGAAGGAAAGGAGTTGTAGGAGAGGACCTAAAGGGAAGCGAGTGCGACGTGGACTTGTCAGAACGTGTGCGGGAGATTGTCTGGCCCGTTCTGTTTCAGACATCCTTACAAAACTGAGCTCCAAGATGTCGCTCGCGAGGTGAGCTCGCCCGCTTCGATTGAGCCGTCCTCGCAATGCGAGGCTCGAAGATGTTGAGCGCGAGATGGTCTGGCCCGTTTTGCCTGAGACGTTTCGTAGCACGGGGGCTCCAATCACAACCTCTCTCATTTCTTCTCCCGCCTCCCTCTTCCCACTTCACGCCTGGCTCCTCTTCCCTCCTCCCTCCTCCCGCCTCCCGCCTCCCGCTGCTGCGCCTCTGCCTCCGCCTCCCCGTCCCCGCCGTCGTCGTTTTTTGCCGCCTCAGCATCCGTCATGCGCGCACTGCCTTCCGCCCTCCCCAGACATCCGACGTCACGATTTTTCATTTGAGACGTGCGCCGCGTACCTCTCGATATCATCCACGGGGGAACCATCACGACATGCCCCCCCGCTTCCGCGCCCTCCCCCGCTTCCTCTTACAGTTGCTTCCGAGTTTACAGCATGGCGGCGGAGCCTCTCACAGTGCCGACCCGACAGCTTACTCGTCGACCAGGTGCGAGAGAGTACGACACCCTCTAGGGTTAGCTTCCTGATAGGTATGCGTCACAGAAGTTTTCGTGCAAGCATCTCATGTGCAAACATCATGTAATCATGCTCAAACGTGCCATGCCAGTCCGCACTGGACGGGCACGCAATCGACCTTGGAAACCGCAGTGGGTCTAAAAACCCTGCTTGGGGATACTGCAC